AAGATCTACAGAGGCACTCGCTGGAACACCTCAGCAAGTGAGAGTCCAAAAGTGGCAGGCTCAAACCCAGAATCTGATACCCAATGAGAGACTCCCCCCTGGGCACATAGAAAACTGGGCAACTTGGAAGGCGCTGAACAGACTGCGCTCTGGCACCACGAGATGCAGAGCCAACCTCAAGGAATGGGGCCACAAAGTGGAAACCACGACATACGAGTGCAGAGAAGAGCAAACCACTGACCACCTGCTGCAATGCAACCTGAGCCCTGGCACATGCACAAGGGAGGACCTCCTTGCGGCAACACCAGAGGCACTCCAAGTGGCCAGAGACTGGTCAAAGGACATTTAATCAACTACCAAACTTGCAAACTTTGTGTTTTTTTTTGTTTGTTAAAAAATGCAATACAACTGTTTGGTTTGCTCCTGACACGATAAATAAAATAATAATAATAACTTTATTTATACCCCACCACCATTTCCCCACATGAGGCCAAGCCCCAACAATAATACATCAATAAAAACAACAACATCCTACATCAGCAATAATACATCAAAAATAATAAACAAAATATTTAAAAAATAAACAATAATACATCAAAAAAAAAAAACTCCCCAACATCCTCCCATTGTCCTTTGTCTTTGTTCATTTGTTTAGCCTAAATAACAACTCTCTGCGCTTAAGCTCCTGCCTGGGTGCCACCAACGACGAGAGGAATTTGCTCCACCCTTAGCCACAAATGGCACCGTGGAGCAAGCAGGAAGCTCCCGGCAAAGCCTGAAACCTTATACGTCGAGCAAAGCCCTTCCTTGGAGATGCTCCAGGCAACGTAAGTGGGTCACCCACTCCACTCTTCCCCACAATGGACTTCCCATCTTCCTTGTCAGAGAACAAGTCCAAAAATATATATACTGGAATATAGATTTGATTTTTCCTTCCTCTCTCTCCATTCTACAATTAGCCTGTAATCTTGCATGTTGACAAATGGAATGATTTACATTGTGTTCTTAATTGTTATTCAAACCACCAAGAGCCGGCCTTCCCGCTTTTTAAGAAACACGGACTGTCATTACCAGTCTCTGGTGCTTCTTCAAAGCCAAAATAGGCAAATCCGCAACCCAAACTGGCCAGTTGTGTGGCCAATGCTTCACTGGGCAAGCCAAAAGATCAGCTGGAAGGAGATTGCACCAAATGCCATTGGTTGCTGTTCTGTCGCGCGCTGGGACTGTAAAGAATTTCCTTTAGAACAGGACGTGCAACCTTTGCCCAGCGGGAAGCCAGGGGGCCCAAGGAAAAATCTTAGAATCATAGAATCCTAGAATCCTAGAGTTGGAAGAGACCTCCTGGGCCATCCAATCCAACCCCATTCTGCCAAAAAGCAGGAATATTGCATTCAAATCACCCCTGACAGATGGCCATCCAGCCTCTGTTGAAAAGCTTCCAAAGAAGGAGCCTCCACCACACTCTGGGGCAGAGAGTTCCACTGCTGAATGGCTCTCACAGTCAGGAAGTTCTTCCTCATGTTCAGGTGGAATCTCTTCTCTTGTAGTTTGAAGCCATTTGTAGTTTGTAGTTTGAAGCCATTGTTGTCTTAAGAGCATCCAAGACTTTCCGGGGGGAAACAGTCTTAAGAGTCTCCAAAGACTCTAAAGACCAAAGAACACCCAGTATCTAAGCCTTTACTGGTAGGTCCACTCGGCGTTCGAGAAGCAGTTCGACCCGGTAGCGGAGCCCACATCAGTAAGGGTTAGATTACAGTCAGCTTGGGAGAAGTTAAAAAGGGGATTTTCCTTTAAAGTAAAGAAGAAGTTATTGAAGACAGTTGCCTGTCCTTCGTGGGCAAGCTTATGAAGCTACCACTTGCATAAAAGCCTGGAATCGTTTGTTTAACTTTCTGAAGACAAGAGAAGTTTCTGTTTGATTGTTCATTAATAAAAGACTGTTATACTTCACAAGCCATCTAAAGACTATTTGTGGTGGAAAACCTCTGAGAACTTCTCCTTGGGCCCCCTGGCTTCCTGCTGGGCAAAGGTTGCACGTCCTGTTCTAAAGGAAATTCTTTACAGGCCCAGCGCACGACAGAACAGATTGCATGGGTTATACCATACAACTTCCAACATATAAAACAGCGCATGTGCAAATCAGTGCTTTTAAAGCTGTCTCACATGTGGAATGAACAATTCCCCTTCTCTAAGTGACTGCGACTGGTAGCAATATTTCTGCCTCTTGGCTGCAATTGTTTCTTTCTTCTTTGCCCCAGACGATCACTTTGGGCAGCACTGATCGTGAAGTCAATATGGACTTTAGGAGGGTCTCCCCAGTAAGAGAGACCCCTAGGGCCGCACCAAAGAGGGTCTATGACCTTGGCGAGCCATCAGAGAAGCCTGATTCCAGCAATTTTATTAATATTAATAATTGAAATGAGACTCTTGCCAAGGCGAAGAAGAGGCATCGAGGTTTAATGAGCGATTCAGCTGAGTCGGATGCAAATGCGGGGATAACTCACCCACAAGCATACCAATACATTGATCAGAGGCATATTTATAGCAAATTCAAAGTTGCAGAGTTCAAACTCCCCGCCCCGGCTTCCCTGTTGTTCCCTGCCCCGGTGCCTCTGGACCAGTCAGGAAGCTCCAGTGGTCCGTAGGAACCAATGGGGAGACCTCTGCCACCTGGTGGTGACAGCCAATCAGGAGAGATGGAGGCGGGATGAGGGAGCACAAAGGAATCTGGGAAAGCAGTGAACAAAGGAAATGCCATGTGGCCGGCAAGACAAAGGGGAAATCTCAAGCCAGCCTGATCTATCAACATGTGTAGACTGCGGTGATTTTTTCTTGGTGGAGATAGCTGAGTTAATCAGAGCGAAGGCAAAAGGTTTTTCGAGGACCTTTTGTCCTTCAGGAGGAAATATGATTAAGATTTTTTGCCAAAGGGGCAAGCGGAGGGCTGGGCAATTCCTCCGAGGTCCACCAGCTGCCCAGGCTATTGTTCATGCAAAAGGAAGTTGTGGATAAAAAAAATCCTGGAATGTTTGGGGCTTTGTAGTCCCTTTGGTGGAGTTTCTTCATGTATATAGGGGAAACAAAGGGCAGAAGAAAAGGGGAAAGGCTTCTGCCACACAAAGAAATCAGAAAACACATTTCATATATCTAAAGTTCATAAAAGGCAAGATTTCATAAGGTTTGTCCATGTGGGGGGAAAGAGTGTCCATAGGGGATGGCTAAAACGCAAGGTCCTGGCAGGAGTTCTTGAGTGGCCCAAATGGACCTGGTGTCTCTGGAAACAAGCTTTGCTCCCCGTCCTTGGAGAACTACAGCTCCCGAGAGAGGCAGAGACCCCAAGGTCTAGCTATTCCTGGAGTTTCATGGGGTCCTCATTGTTGGTAAGGCCTTGGCAAATTGACCAAGACTTAACCCCTATTGTGCAATCTGTTACCTTTGTCCTTTGCTGAA